CTTGATACTTCAAACCTCCAAGTCTTTTATGTCATTCTCTAAAATCAAGACTATACCAATAGGTGAGCACATTCTTTTAATTAAATCAAGACACTAATTCTAAAACTAGATAATCAATAAAAACAAGAAAAATAATTTTTGTTTTCTTTTTTCTCTCTCCCTAAATTTGAACACTATGTAATTATATATTATGATTGTTATACAATCCCATATGAGTCTAGTTTCTATCTAATCTCTATTTACCGAAATAGAATAGTTACAATTCTTGTACAATAATAATTCCACATTTAAATAAGAGTTCTAATTAAAATACAAGTAAGAGTTTTAATTAAAGTTCAAATCCAATTAGTTTATATTTAATTACATGTATAGTCCTAAAATTTCAATTATAATTATAATTAAGTTTACAACTTTCACAATAATTACAACTAAGTACAAAACTTTATTGTAATTACAATTAAGCACAAAACTATTATAATTATCGTAGTTAAGTTCGAATACTTTACAAAGCTACTAAGACTTGATCAGACATATATTATCAAAACTCCAATAATTAGATAATGTCTTGTCGATCTTAGACTACCCAATCTAATTATTAGTTTTTGATTTTTTCACTAAAAGCAAAATATTAAACTCTTGAAATATATAAGATCACAGAAGAAAATAAATATGTAATATTTTTTCTCTGACTTGCCGTATATGTATTTTATTCCCATACGAAATTCGATAATTAAGTATGAGTATAAATTATTAGTTTGTCCTTCTAATTATTCTCACTAATTTAAGTACTATTTTCTTCAACGGTTCCATGAGCTAATCACAGATGTCGAAATTTAGTCATCACTAACCACTGAGATCAGATTTTAACCATTCAACAGAAAATACTTAAATAGTCACTCTACCCATTTTTCAAGGTGACAGTTCTCGACACGAATTCATGTTCTCTATTCCTTTCATTCTCGAGTTCCAACTCATCGAGATATTTAACCAATCAAATTGATCTCATTCATTGATGAATCAAATAACCATTAAAATCACGAAAAGATATACATAATCCTGTCAATAGATTTAGATGAAATTCACAGGTATCAAGTGAAATTTAATTTTCAACACGGTCATACTATATAATTAAATTTGACACGCGGTACGTTCAATGCACTCCAAGTATACTAGTGTCACATTTAACTATTTCGGTAATAAGGACAAATCACAAACCTAAATAGTGAATCGATCAATACTACAATATTTCGTTATTAGTGTCAACCCTTATACAATGGTTGTGAACAATTTATTTATAATCAAAATATAAGTTGTTTCATACTATACTTCTCAACAAAAGTACCCAATCTATATTATCACAAGTGATTGTAGGCACTTTAATTCGTATGCTCTATAATAAATAAATGCAATAAACAAATAAAATCACAATTTATTTCCTATAAATAATTATTTTATCATAGTAAAATATACTATATAGGCACACAATCCAACACTAACATACATGTTTCTTGGTGGAATTCTGTTCAAACTCGAAAGTCGACATTAAGCTAAGAAGAAGATATTGATAAGTGTATTTTTGCAAACTTATTTAATACTTAAATTAAATTTATTATTGATTAAATAAGTGAACTTCTAATTATCTAATTTATGATTTTATAGGCAAAAATCACTCAAATGAAAGAGAACATGGCAAAATGAGGGGAAATGGACTAAAAGTGTGCAAGTTTGTGAAGTAGGGGACCAAAGTGCACAATTACCAAAAGTTGAGGACCTTGGAATGAAATTTATGAAGGGCTTGATCGAAAGAAAAGTCAAAATCTAAGGACCAAATTATATAAAATCAAAGTTGGAGGATCAGGCATGCAATCTTTGGGGACCAAACTAAGAGAGAGAGAGAGAGTGCTAAGGTGTGCGCTTGAGTTTGAAAAGGACTTGTGTGCACATTTTAATTTCTTCAAGGCCTCTTCTTGCAATTTGGATGAGATGATTTTTATACTTTTTAAACACTATTTTTACACTTTTATGCTATTCTTCTTCATTTTTCTTTTCTTTCTTTTCTTTCTTCATTCTTTTTGTCTTTCATTTTTCTTGGATTTTGGGGAACAAGAAAGGCAAGGAGAATACATCAAGGAAGGTGGAGAAATATTTGGGGACTCAAGTTTAATCTATGGCAATCTTGAAGATTCCAACCAAAAATGGGGGTTTCACTTTTATCTTGAATTTACTCCATTATTTTCTTCCATTTGTGATGTATTGTATGAAATATTTTCCTTTTCATCATTTCTATAACATGGGCAAGATTATTGTGTTGAGATTTATGGTTGGAGTTTAATTTTGTTTTGTTAATTTCACTATTTACTTTTTAATGTTAAAATCTTGTTTCCATGTATATCTATTATTGTATTAGCGAATGATTATGTTTTGTGATTTGTAAATCATTTGAAAGAAGATTGTGCATTTTAAACCAAATAATACAAAGCCTAAGCTTGTGTAGGGAATAGATATATATCCATAATCCTAGGTGGTCCATTGAACTATTTTCACAAAAATTTAATGAGGTTATTTGGTTTTAATCGACGTAGAGACATAGTAGGATAAACTAATCAATTAGGATTAATTTCACACAAGAACGATAATTAACTAAAATTGAAAATTTGGGTCTAACATCGTAAACGAGTAATTTATTAATTGGCTTGTAGAAAACTTAATTAGACGACGGTTAAGCAAAATCATAAGTCTCAACCACGTTTTCCTCCAAAATTTTCAAGTGCTTTTATTTTCTTATTTTATAGACTTTTAGTTATTTTCCTTATTTTCGAAAATCATAATTTTATTGTGTGTTTGTTTTCATTGTTAGAATTAAATTGACTAAAGTTGTGTAATCAAAAGTATTCCTCGAGGGATCAACAACTCAGACTCAAAAAGTATACTTTATTACTTAAATGCACAGTGCACCTGCGATATATGATTTCAGCAAAGGTATATCGATGACGATGATGCTTCTAGGAGACATTCTGATAGACTCCTATCAACGTAGAAGGACCTAGAAGTATTGAGAAGCTTATTCAGTTATAGTAGATTCAGTTAGGAGCAAGGGTATTTTGGGGAATAATTGTGTGATTAGTTGCCTATAAATGTAACGGAGGAGGGATTGGGATATGGAGTCAGAGAATTAGTTATTGAGTTAAGGGGAGAGATCTAAGGATCTCGAATGCTTAGAAGTATTCTTTCAATTTCTGTAATCGTCCTTTTTTTCAATCAAAAAGTCATTTATTTAACATTTGGACTTGTTCTTTCAAGCGGTAATCTATCAAATGTATTAGAGCACTATCCTGGAGATGATATCTGAGACATTACTTCTGATGAAGAAAATGAATTAGAAGATCGGGTTAGTAATTTGGAAGTGAAGCTTGAGAAAATGAATTTAGAAATAAGAGAGGAAATAGGAGCCATGAAATCTGATTTTCACAAGGCCATGACATCAATGTTGGAGAAACTGGAAGCAATGATTCACAAGTTGGATGGACAGGAGCGAGCCCGAGAGGAGAAGTGGATAATAGAGAACTCGCTAGAACCTACCTTAAATGTTGAAATCCCTTCAAAGTTTGACGAGACAAGGGATAATATTGTGGATCCGAAAATTTCACTCATCATCAATGAAGCAGAAGAACGAACAGTTGGAAGGAGTTGTCATGAGGAGTCAGGGGAAGTAGAAAACTACAGTCGACAATGGAATCGTCGGTTTCCCTTGGTGGTAATTCCGCCGGCTGGCTTTTTGGAGAGGAGAGGATCTTCGACTTGAATCAGATCTCGAATTGGAGGGGAAATTGAAGCCGCTACAATTTGTTTCAAACTGAAGGCAGTGGCTCCGTATCATGAGGACGGAAGCAGGCAGCCATGGAGGTGGGAGAATGTGGAAGTTCTATTGCAGGCGACACCAGATGAATTACCGAATGGAGATTTAGTCAATGGGCTGAAGCAATTGGTTAGTGCTGGAATCAAAAGTCTTAATTCAAAGGGATTGGGCCAAATTCCCAAAGGGCCATAAAACGGTCACACTCAAGTTACGACTCATATAAGACCAAGACAAACACCCATAGCCCAAATTCAAACTCTCAATTTATTCCAGTCCACCCATTGAATCCAGTAGAGATCGGTCCAAAGTCCACGACAATCACCACACTCAAATCTAGTGTTTTCAGATTGATTGCCATCGCAATGCTCCAGCCGGTGATAGCAAATAGAGGGTTGCCACCGTTTAAAAAGTTGAACGAAGTTGATTTTCAGAGGAAAGGGCGGAAGGGGCTTGCAGTTAGCTTTCCGCTTATCGCGACGAGTCGAGTTCAAGACAGAAACATTTTGTGGCCAGGGGCAACTGGCTTCAGAGTTGTGGTGGATACTATACTTATGTTAGTCACTCAATCAAGTAAGTCCATCCATTTCAAAGGGCAAACATTTCCCTTTTCCGCAATGATCGTGACCAGAGTTTTTGCAAAGGAAATCGTGTAGTTGTATGATGAATTCAACAACTTACACCTTGAGGATAAAGTGGATTTCGAGGGGCGAGTAATGATATACTCCTATCAAAGTGGAAGGACCTAAAAGAATTGAGAACCTTATTCAATTAGGGTAGACTCAATTAGGGACGGGTATTTTGGAAAATAATGATGTGATTAGTTGCTTATAAATGTAATGGGGGAGGGATTGGGATATGGAGTCAGAGAATTAGTTGTTGAGTTACAGGGAGAGATCTAAACCCCTCGAATGCTTAGAATTATTCTTTCAATTTCCGTAATCATCCTTTTTTTCATCAAAAAGTCATTTTTTCAACATTTCGACTTGTTCTTTCAAGCGGTATCCTATCACATTCAAATGCACGATCCATCCAAATACCGTCTTAATCTCCTGCAGCGTGTTCGATGCTATCAAATAGGAAAAACAATTAAAAGTCTCTCAGATAACTAGGTATATCTTTTCTCCATAATGTGCAAAGCACGAGAAATCAGAAATGTGTATGTATTTTTCAAGAATTTGCATGCACAAACGCATAACAAAGACAATCAATGCAAAACTTTCTCGTTAAGTCGCTAACTTGTAACTGAAATTTTAGTTTACAAGTCATCATAATATGCTTCTAGAACAACAACAATCGGGAGAACAAAGTAATGCATGGGTAAAATGAAGGAATCTTCCGCCATCATAAATAAAAAGGAATTAAGGAGGAAAAACAATCACAAATTCAAAAGTTCGCCTGTAGAAGAGTCGCAAGTCTGCAAATGTTTTCCTATGTAAACATTATGCAGACTTATAGTTCTGTGTCTCTGTATTCTTCCTCATCGTCGCCAGCATTTTGGTAATCACTGTACATAGAAGTTGTTAGATATGAAGTTAGTTCTTTTCTATTGATAAATCGCCAAACTTTAAAACGTCATACAAGACAAAAAAATAAATTACATCAGAATACAACATCTGTGTCCTTCCCAACAAACTTCGTTTCATGTTAAAGCAGAATTCTTTGGATTCAGAAATTATGGTTTACAGTTGAAATTACCTTGTCTGCTTACAGTATCTGCCGAGGTCTTGGCATAAAACCTTGCCTACTTCGCCAACTTTAATGGACCCTTTCTTTATCAATTCTGAAAACTGATTTCACAAATAACAAGGCCTATGTTAGTAATCCTTGCTAAAAATACTCCAAAAAAAAGGACAGAAAATCAGGAGAGAATGACTCACGTCATCTTCAGTTTCCTCAAGTAACCTAGCCATATAGGAAAAACAGATTAATATTCATTTCATTTTGTGAATTCCAAGGTTCTTAAGAGCAATAATCACAAGAATTCCACGACAAGCTAAATTATACTATATCTCACCTTCCACAAAAAGTTGAAATATCTTTTGAATGTGCC